AATAAAAATCACAATTTTTTATTACTTTAAGTCAATTATAGGACATTCGGTTAATTTTGAAAATGGTCTAAGTCAATTCAAGCTTTAAAAACAACATTTTCCTATGAAATTCACACAAAATTTCATATCTATAATAAATTTCCATTAATCAAGACTAATAAAATTATAAATTAAAATGTCGCATAATGTAAAAATATTTTTTAATTTATTCAAATGCGATTCATTGAATATCTCGAAACAAGAAATATATGACTTAGACCACTTTCATAATTATGGGCACATATAAATTATTTGGACCTCAAAATTTCCAATTTTCGAAAAATACTTTGTTGAGTCGGTTATAGTGAATACATTCATTGTTATCTATGCATTGCAGGATCTTTATCTCAAAGTTACTGGCATCACACGGATGCTGTCGCGACAATTGGAATTTGGAGGACAACGATTTTTCAAAGAATGAATATTTTCCTCGGAGAACTAGATTATGTGTATCACAGATTTAATCCTTATACGGTTGAACAATAATATATCGTCGTTGTAGATACAACTAGAGAAAAAGTTGTTTTCTCAATACTATTAATAAACAACACTTTAATTTCTTCATTTATGTTTTTTCCCAAATTATCTAATTTACAGGTTTCAGAAATTTTATATAAACTTTGTTTACCGTTTCATCAAACCTCAACTCTTATATAATAGGAAACAAATTTGGTATAACATGTTTTTATCCGAGGCTCTGTTTTCGAGAAAATATTGTCTGTAAAGTTAGTTCGATCGCAGCAGTCTTCGTTCAAGTTAGTGTTTTCAAACAAATGACAATGATGGAAACATTCCTTTCTCGTTACTGCCCGTAAAGTGTAGGATCGATCTCCGTCAACCCACTCGTATTAACGCCCTCGCAGAAATAGGGTTAACGCGTTTCCCTTGTTGGCAGAAATGGTTCCTTTCTATGAGCCCCAAAATTAGCCACAACAATGAATTTCCACGAAACGAGGGACTCGAGTTCGGCCGAATAGAAACAAACAAAGCTTCCTGACTCTCGCTCCCCAATGATCGCCATTCTCGACTAGGAGCACATCAGTCGCGTGTTCCTGTGCTTTGTGTGGGTGTGGGTGTGTGTATTATTTACACACACGACGAGCGAGACACGAGACAGGACTCAGGAAGCGTAGAACATTCGAGATAAAATGATGCAACAAATACGAGATGCAAGAGCATCGACTTATCCCTGAAGCACTAACTTCAGATTTTTCCGATGAACACATGATTATTTGTAATTACTAATTACAGTAAAGTCTTCACAATTTTCCTTCAGCTTGTAAACAAAAATAAACAATTTGGGAAGACGAGTTGCGATTATTCGAGCCTCGTGGCTCATTTTTATAGTTTCCGATTGTCAACAATTATAAAAACGAGGTGCAAGGATCAAAAAATCGTATCTCCTCTTCTCAAATTGCCAATTTTTGTTTACAAACCAAAGGAAAATTAGGGAGAATTTACTGTACTAATTAGCATCTTAATTAACTCTTCATTGCACTCGGCAGCAAACGTGCTGTACTGCACACATATTTTTTACATGTATGTATGTTGTATCATATGATTATTTTTAACGGCTATTTAGTATGATACAATTACATAATTCATTTATCATAGATGTTAGGACATTATAAAGTAACTAATTGTAATTATAGTAGCTCACGAAAGTATTCGAACACTTTTTAAAAAGCAATAACTTCTTTAAAACTGAACTAAATGACTCAATTTTGTTTTTTAGATGACAGTGGGACTAATCCACGAGACAATAACTGAAATGCTTTTTCTTAATTTTGCTCTTATTTGAAATGACAAAAAAAGTAAAAAGACTCTCGTCTTTTAAGTTGTTTTATCTGAGTCTGTTAATAAAAATTTTAAAAATGCCTCTCGTGTAGATGTCGGTAACTTATATGCATGGTGAAAATTTTATCGAAATTGCTTAACGTTGTTATCAGTTACAAATAATTAAAGATTTTTGCCACTTTTTATCAAAAACTATAAGAAATCTGCAATTTTTGAAATCTTTCAACGCCTGTAGCTTGACTCTGGGTTAACCGATTTCGATAAAATTTTCAGCATACGCATGAGTTACCGAGATCTTGGAAAGACTTTTTCTAAATGTTTGTTATAAGTTCAGATAAAAAAAGTTAAAGAACGAGATTTTTCTACTTTTCTTGTCATTCCTAGTAAGAGCAAAATTAAGAAAATGCATTTCAGTTATCGTCTCGTGGATTAAAAATCAATTAAACTCAAATCATTTAGTACAGTTTGAAAAAAATTATTGCGTTTTAAAAGGTATTCGAATACTTCCGTGAGCTAATCGTGTTTTCCTCGTATAGTGTTATTCTCATATTCGCAGACTTGCAATGTATGGAAACGAGAGAATGAAACACTGCGCATAAACTAAATGAAGCAGGGGGCGAATGGAATCGCGCCCGCTCCACCTAGCCTCTTCTAAACTTGTTTAACCCTAGAAAGATAACCATATGACAACGTACGTAAAAGATAACCATACGCTTCAGAGGCGCATGCTTTTCTGAGGCGTCAATTTTATACTAACAATGGATATTTATTTAAGTTAATCTAGTCATTTTAAAGGTTTGGCATTATTGTAAAAATAAAATGCATTTATATTTTTTTATATTTTAAGTAATTTTAAACTTGAATCACTAGACCTCTATGAAAAATTAACAAAAATCAACAGTCTTCGCAGGCGCCTCTGCGACGTAGGTTATCTTTCTCGGGTTAAATTTCAGACTTTTGTTTATTATTGGCTTAGTTACGCGCTGAACGAGAGACGTGATTAGGCGAAGCGAACGAACGATCGCCTTTGCTCCTCTCGCGTCGTGTGTTCTCGCTTGTGTGTCTTCTCGTTTACCAACAGAAGTGGTTCAACATAGTTCGCAAAATTAATGTTTGTAAACACTATCTCGGACGGAGACAACTGCGGTAAAAGAATAGACGACAACTAAATCCTTTACAAAGATGAACAAACTTTAACACTAGATTTACGGAGCATAAAAAACAGCTGTTTTATATCAGTTTATAAAAGTAACAAGACATTTATTCTGGTTTCTAACAAGTACTATTGTAACATTTGCCGTAAGTAATGTATGAATTGAATAAATACCTCATAAATGTATCTTCGCGATACGAATAATCGTAAATGAAAAAATTAGTGACCGGTCATTTTGACGGGTTCCGTAAATCTAGTGTTTACGTCGATATTCTCGAGAACGGTGCCCCGGATAAAAAATGTTATACCAAATGTTTTTCTTACTTTTTCACGTGTAATTACCCATTGCACGGTTGCACCACGAATTCCGGTCTACTCTGTACAATCGATACACTACGAATCTCTGTACAATATAAAAATGGTTGAACTCAATTGCAAGCAACAGAGATTAAATAGGTACGCTTGCAATTTTTCGGTGATTCCCATATCATCGATGCGTCTACGTTCGTCTCTGGAGAGTTAACGAATAAAAATACCTGCGAAATCTCAGCAAACCAAGCGCGCTCGTACGGAACCAAAAATAAGTTACTCTGACTGGTCGACACTTCCTATCGCTAATTATCTCGCTTCAGGAAGGTCTCCAATGTCGACTGGGGGCGTTCCCAGGAAGGAATGCTGGAGGCCGATGCTGTAAACTCCGCAGACGTGTAAATTTACAGCGTCTGGGAGTGAGGAAATTATTGGAGCGGAATTTTTCCGCGACAAACAGTTCGCCGGTCGGAGCGTCCGCGAAGGGGCCTCACGGGCCCAGTGGCGCGATAAAGCGATTTCTTCCCTCTTGTCCATCGTCCCGTGCCCCCCGCGTTCCGGAGCGTTGCGGAGCGGTGCGGAGCGGATCGGCGTCGGTCCTCTCCTTCTTGCCCCTCGCTGGCTCGGCTCCGCGCGGCTCCGCGCGGCTCCGCGCGGCTCCCCAGTGGTACACGCCGGACAGGTTGGAACGGGCGCGGACTGTACACCGGATCGGGACTCGTAGCATTCCAGAGTCGGCTTCTTCGTGCACCACCCCGACTCTTGCCGCGGCCAGAAGGAGGAAAGCCTTCTCGTTTCGTAGCTGGAATCTGTTCTTCGTTCCGTCGCGTACCCGACAGAAGTATCAATGGGGGCCCCGGCATTAACATTAAGTAACAGTATCCGCTGCATACTAACTGCCGTATTATCGCCCCACCAGCTAGGCCGTCCCTCATTCAACCCGCGCCTCGTCACCCGTAATCAAATACCTTCGGCACCAGTGAAGAAAGCTGACCGGCGACGACGTGATTCCAACACCGGACTCTTTCGGTCGGTCAGCAACCGTTGTCGAGCTTGCGCTCATGCTCTCTCTCTCTCTCTCTCTCTCTCTCTCTCGTTTTCTTTCTCTCTCGTCTCATTCTACGTATCTTTCTCTTGTTCCGATTCGAACCGTTCCAGGACTGCAACCACCGTGCGCACACCGGTGTGTTTTATTACTCGCAACCAGAGACGAGTAAATTCATTAACTAGATGAAGAGTATCGGGCGATGGGCGAAAGGCGAAAAACCAGTTGCTCGTTTTTTCACCGGTCACGGACGCTCACGCGAGGTATATTTATTGTTATCGTTATTGTTCGCTGGAATGCTGTCGATTTTTGAGGTCGGCTGTTCCCAGCACGGTTCGGTTATATCCGAAGCTCTGCCAGTTTCTTGCGTAGCTACGTTGATTAGCACTTCTTCGTCCTTAACATGTCCAGCGCTGAAAATCAGCCCCGACCATTCCCGCAAAGTTAAAGTAATTTAATTCGTGGAACTGAAACTAGACAATTTTTTTTCAACATTGCAGTCAAATCCTATTTGTTCGAATGTATTATAATGAAAAAAGGTATTTTGGAAACTCGTCAAACGTTAGTGTCATCCATTGACACGATACATGGTGTGTTAATAATTTCCCTAACAGAACCAGAGCATTTTTGTTTCCCGTATGTTTTCGTTTACGTTCGTTTACGAATCTAAATGAAATGAATAACATATCAATACTCGGTGGGTTATGTATCACGCAAGAGATTAATACGTTGGTAAGAATTTCTTTTTAATCATCGTTGAAAGATTAAGGGTTGATGGAAGGGAATTGTGTACTTCTCCACATTCTTCGCTCAACTCGTCGGTCATCTCCTTTCAATAGCTTCGCATGACTAGCGGAGATTATTATAGGACAGGTCTGTTAGCATTTTTTCGCGAATGAATTTATTACTACGCTCGAATGTACGAGGATCGGATAGACAGGATTATGTAAAACAAAAAAATATCCACAATATTCATGGGTGTAGGAAAAATATTTTATCATATCGTAAGAATTTTCTTTACTTTCACGATCCTGTTCCCATGGATCGTCCTATATAATTACGCAATTTTGAATGAAGCGGTTCAGCGGAATATCTTCTTCCTCGAATTCATATGATAATCGGAAGTAGGTATTAATCTTACTTACATCGTCCAATCTTCTGCAAATGAATTAGACGATTACGCATCGTACAGTTAATTTAATGGGGCAATTAATACACAGTACAAAACAGTACAAAATTGCTGTTGTTAATTACACAAGC